GGGAGGAGGTGGGCGCAGCTGGCGGGAACCGCGGGGCACGCGGGGAGGGACGGCCCTGGGCGTGCTCGCCCCGGGGTCCGCGTTCCTGCCTGGCCGATCCCAAACCCCGTGCGCGCGAGGGAACGTCCCGCCCACGTCCCCAGCCCCGGCTGCGCGCTGGAATCGCCTGGGGCCGTTGAAAGTGCCTCTTACCCGCCCTGCCCCAGAGATTCCGGTCTGAGGGCTGCGGAGTCGGCTTTTTAGAAGCTCCCAGGTGACAGTCCTGAGCTGCCAGAGTGCAGACTTCTGAGTTCTCCAGAGGCTGTGGTCCTGCAAAGGGTTTAAAGAACCTCAGCACTCCAGGGCTCACGTGCTGGGATCCCCTGTGCTAACTTTTCTGCTTCAGAGATGATGGACTTTTTCTTTTCAGCTTCTTCGTCTTCCTGGGACTCTGCTGTGTCCCGCAGCAAGGCCATGGCTTGAATGTAACTGCTGCCTATGTCTCAGGTCCACAGGAAGCGGTCGCCTCTGTTCAGTGAAGTCAGGCTGGTGGCCCCCTCTGAAGCCGGACCAGCAGCTCCTTTTTTTCCACTTGCTGAGTCCACGCAGCTCTTGACTAATTTCAAGTTGGTCCCGTTTCTCCCCTCGCTTAAATATCTTCCACTGTACTCACTTACTGATCTTTTTTTTTTTTTTTTTTTTTAAGTTACCGATCGTTTTGATATCTTTGGCAAAGATTCAGTTCAGCCAGCATTTCCAACAAGCGGTGCTGGAACAATTGTTGGCAGCTGCAAAAAAACCCAAAAAAGTCCATCCATACTTCCCACCATTTCAAAAATGAAATTGAAATGGATCGCAGGCCTAAACGTAAAACCTAGAGCTAGACATTTCTAGGAGGGAACATCGGAGGAGAATCTTGATGCCCTTGAGGTGGGCAAAGATTGCTTAGATACCGAGGGGTTATTATTATTACATGGAGAGAAGGTGGAGGTTGCTGTTTACAGCTTGTTAGGATACGGGAAACCCTTCTTCCAGGCGGGAAATCACCACTGCACAACCCTGATGATAATATAAGTGAAGAAACATTTGTGAATGAGTATCAGGTGGTGTTACTGCACGAGTCCTTCAACTAAAGACTTCCACTTGGCAGAGTTTTATCCAGAGGTCTCGGAGGAAGTCCAGGGCTCTGGAGGAGGATAGTGCATTTATGTTTGAATGCCACAATATCTGGCAGTCCTGTTCAAGTTGCAGTAGCTTTCAGAAGAATGGGATGATAGTTTGTCTCCTGGCGGCGGTGTCATATAAGTCAAGGAAAAATTTTTATTTGGTTTTGAGTATTTTATAACTACCACTCGATAATTAGACATCATGAGGTGTCAGAAACCACTCAGCCTGAAGTCTGGGAATTGCTATATAGTTACATTTTATGTTTTTAATATCTAGACTATAAAAGGTTAACTTCCTGACTTTTCTCTTTCCCATGAACTGTCTAGGCCCAGAGGTTGATTTTTTTATAAGGAGGACTCTTCTGTATCAGTTACTGCGCTAGTGATCCGGTTTTTACCGTGTGGTCCTAGAGGTGAGAAGCAGAAGGGCAAAAGGAAGAGATAATTGATACAATTCATGTCCAGGGGCCCATTCCTGAACCTCTCCCTGAACCAAGACGAGAAACCTGGTGTGGCGCCTGGTCCTCAACTCCTCCTATTACCCATTTAAAAAACACTATCTAGGGCTTCCCTGGTGGCGCAGTGGTTGAGGGTCCGCCTGACGATGCAGGGGACACGGGTTCGTGCCCCGGTCTGGGAGGGTCCGACATGCCGCGAGAGCGGTTGGGCCTGTGAGCCATGGCCGCTGGGCCGGCGCATCCGGAGCCTGTGCTCCGCAGCGGGAGAGGCCACAGCAGTGAGAGGCCCGCGTACCGCAAAAAAAAAAAAAAAACAACAACAAAACAAAACACTATCTAATTGGACGCAGAGCCTCATGATTTTACCCGCTCATCTCTAAATTATTTAAGCTCTGCAGGGAGACGTTGGCTCCAGCTTTACAATTGACCACTGAAGTGCCACAGTGATGTCCTAGGACAGCACTGATGATGGTGTCTGAAAGTCTATTGTAACCCATTATGTTGGTCAGTTAACATGCCCAGAGCAGCTAGCTGGATCCTGAGACCCAAAGTTCTGGTTATCTGTTGTGTAACAAGTCACCCCAGAGCTCAGTGGCTTGAAACTAATTGTTTATTTGACTCTCAGACCTGCAGTTTGGACAGGGCTCAGCAAGGAAGGCTTGTTTCTGTCCTGTGTGGTGGCATCTGGGGCTGGAGGGTCCACTTCTAAGCTGGCTCACTCACATGGCTGGTAAGTTGGCACTAGCTTTGGCCTGAGAGCTTGGTTAGGAACCTCAGCATCTCTCTCCACAGGGCTGCTGGTGCTTCCTTATTAGAGCATGGAACCTAGGGTCCAAGCACAAGGATTCCAAAACACAGGAAGTGGCAGCTCCCAGTCTGTTAAGTCCTGGGCCCCAAAGTCAGTGCATCGTCACTTCTGTCACACTGTGTTGTCAAGCACGGAGTCCTCCCAGATCCGGGGGAAGAGGCCATAGACTGCACTTCTTGATGGGAGAAGTGTTAGTCTGTGGCCGTCTTTTAATTACCACACCCATTCGTTGGTGGCTCAGATAAACTCATCAGCCTTCTTATTTCAGGGTCAGTAAAGAGCAGTGGGTGCTGCCTCCTGGCCACAGTTTTTAAAAGACCTAGAGTAAAGATCAGTCGTGACCATCTTTATGAGTAGAAGCAGGAATAGCTTTGGGGAAAAGTTGCCATGGTGATTGTATGTATTTTCTGTCTTCCCCTGGACTGCTAGTCATATGGGGATTGAGGTTCCTTAGAAAAACTAGGCCAGAGAAGCTGAAGTTCGGGAATTAAACAGTCATAACACCAGGAGTTGTTGGCAAACCTTTTCTGTAAGGGGCCAGACAACATTTTAGCCTTCGTGGACCCATGGTGGCTCTGCTGCTGTTGCGTCTTACAGTTCTGTAGGTTAGAAGTGCATCGTGCATGGGTCAGTGTTCCTTTCTGGAGGCTCTAGGGGAGAATCCATTACCTGCTTTCCCAGCTCTCAGGGGCTGCCTACTTTGCTTGGCTCTTGGCCCATTCTTCCATCTGCGGGACCAGCCACATAGCACGTCTCTGACCCTACGTCAGTCCTCACATCTCTTTCTCTGACCTCTTTTCTCTCCCTCTTCCATTTTTAAGGACCCTTGTAATCACATTGGGCCAACTAGAATAATCGAGGGTAATCTCCCTGTTTTACGGTCACCTGACTAGTAGCCTTAATTCCATCTGCCACCTTGCTTCCCCTTTGCCCTATAAACGAACATATATATTCAAAGGTGCTGGGGATTAGGACATAGACGTCTTTGGGTTGCCATTATTCTGCCCACCCCATTCTCAGCTCACGGGCTATAGATTATTGACCCCTGAGCTATATGATACTGTGATTTCCAGATTGACTTCACCTCGCAGTTGATGTGATGTTCACGAAGGAATTACACGTAGCTCCTTAGTACTCGAGCTCGGAGGAAGTATGTAGAATTCGGTCTGTCACATGCTCATCCGAGGTTGGCATCGTACTCTTTCCATCCATGGCAGAGCACGTGCGAGGTTAAGACCCACTGTTATCAAAACTAATTTTCAGATCCTGTCAACTTGAAAAATGGCATTTTTGTCTTCTAATTATTCTGTTTAAAGTTGGGTAGAAGCTTCTGTTGATTCGGATAGACTGCTATATGGTATTCGAAATGCCATTTGTGTTTACATTTTCTTTAGAAAAAATTAGCTCTTTTAATAAAACAATACCATTGGGTATAGTGGGTTTCTGATTGCAAGAGACGGGATACAGGTAATTGTGTATGTGTGCCAGTGTTGTGCTGACTCGTTCTCTTGTTGAACCCCCAGAATCCTGTACCTGAAATACAGAAACTTTCTGGTAGGCAATTTTTCAAAGACTTTAGCTCCTATTTGCTTTCTCAAGAAGCTACTGGAGGATGCCCATCAGTAAAACAAGGAAGTGCACCAAGAAAGGGTGCAGAAAGTGGGAAATCGAGGGCAGGAAAGGGGTGGAAGCAATCCCCAGGAGACAGCTGTGCACAGCTGGAAAGAGAAGGCAGCTCAGGGAGAGACTCAGGCAGGCCGAGGAATGGAGATCACGCTCGAGGCCTTTGACGTTGACATTGTGGGATTTAGTTTGTTAGCCAAGTGTTGAGGCTGCCATTTGTAATCAGTACTCGGAAAACTTAGTAGTTGAAGAGGTTGGATAATTTCCTCCAGGGTAAACAGACCCCCAAAAGTTGTGCGTAGAAGGGCAATACGAACTTGGTTTTCAGTTTACTGAATGACTCAGCTCTGAATGGCACTGACACAGTTAAAATGTAGCTCTCAGATTTAGTTGGAAAATGCTGATCGATGTGAGGAAGATGGCAAGATGAGATGGGAAGGCTGCACACGGGTGCAGGCGACGGGATGGGGAGGAGGTAGGGGTCGACACGTGTTGCCTAGGATGAAAAATCCAGATGAACGGGCTTCCCTGGTGGCACAGTGGTTGAGAGTCCGCCTGCCAGTGCAGGGGACATGGGTTCGTGCTCCGGTCTGGGAAGATCCCACATGCCGCGGAGCGGCTGGGCCCGTGAGCCGTGGCCGCTGAGCCTATGCGTCCGGAGCCTGTGCTCTGCAACGGGAGAGGCCACGACAGTGAGAGGCCCGCGTACCGCCAAAAAAAAAACAAACAAAAAAATCCAGATGAAGCAATACAAACGTAAGGGAGGGACTTTGAAAATAAATATCTAAAGACCATGTCAGGAGTTGAAATTGGCTGCCTCTGTGCTGTTTTTATTTGTTTTAAGCCTTACAGAACGGATTGGAGTTTTTTAAGCAATGTGTATGTGTAACGTTAACGAAAGTGAAAAACTAAAATACAGTATTGAGCCAAAAAGAGTTAATGTAACAGGCCTGAGACAGTTTCTAAAGAGCATATGGGATCCCCTCATGTATGAAAAAGGTCCCTTTGAAAGGTGGCCCTTGGCTGGCTTCTGGGAGCTTAGCTTTCGTGAGGTTTCCCGCCATTCCCTGTGGGAATAGCTCACTGCTGAACAGTGTAAACCACGTGGTTAACACAGAGTCCCTGGCCCCCTGTAAAACCCCAGGCACTGAGTCTCTAGTGAGCTTCCCCGGGAGACAGTGCTTCACGTGTGTTGTCACAGCTCGTTGCCCGGGGAATTCACATGTCCTCTGTGACTCCACGAGGGTAAGGACTCTTGGAAGCTTGTGCCTGGTCTTCCCACACCTCGCCCGTGTGACTTTTCCCTTTGCTGATTTCGTTCTGTCTCCTCTCAGTGGAAGAAGTCATACCCTCGAGGACCACCGCCTGCCAAGTCCTAGGGAATCACAACCCTGGGGGTGGTCACAGGGATGCTTTCCTATTAATGGGTGGCATGTTCCTTCCCCTAGCGTCGAGATTGGCGAAAGTGTGAGGGGAGAAGATGTGTACATCATCCAGAGTGGCTGCGGAGAAATCAACGACAACCTGATGGAACTGCTCATCATGATCAACGCCTGCAAGATCGCGTCATCCTCCAGGGTGACCGCCGTGATCCCGTGCTTCCCCTACGCCCGCCAAGACAAAAAGGACAAGGTATGGGGGTGGGGCTCCTGTTGGAGGAAGCTGCTCTGCCTTAACGGCTACATTGATTTTCTCACTTTGTACCTCTGAGTCCCTGGGAAATGCCTGCTCTCTCCTGTCAGGATGGAGTAAATATGCCTTCTCTGGTTGGCTCTACCAAAGGTTTGTCTTTGGACCAGCCATCACGTTAGTATTTGTACATATAGAAACAGATAAAGTGTATTTTTGCAGGTATGAAAATACCATTACTATAATATAAAATTATTATACTTTACATATAATGAAAGTGGATGAAATTATTGTGTACCTTTGTGGTGGGGGATAGAACTAAACACAAACAACGCACACACACATTACTGTAGTCCTTGTGGTGAAATTATTGTGTATCTTTGTGGTGGTGAATAGAACTAAAGACACACACACACACACACACACACACACACACACACACGTGAGTATAAAACAGTGGGGGAAGTCCTGAGCAGACCACTGGATTGTATCCGTGTCGGGATCCCAGTTGTGATTTTGCAAAATGTTACCGTGAGAAACTGAGGCAAGGTTGCACCATCTCAGCATTGTTTCTTACAGCTGCATATGAGTCTACAGTTATCTCAAGATACCAAGTTTAATTTATACCATTATCTCTTTTTAACCTTGCAAGAGGAATGAAGTTAATATTGTTGAATTATTCTTCTTGTAACACTAGCACTGTAGGAGGCTTTGTGAGTTTCTAGAAAAACTGAAGAAGATACGGCCTCTGCCTTCAGGGAAAATCAGAGAAGTTGGAGTTGGAGGGGAACTTGAAAGGGGATTGTATTACTTTGCTGGGCCTGCGAAAACAAATGACCACAAACTGGGAGGCTTACTTAGAATGCCAGAAATGTACTCTCTCGCCGTCCTGGAGGCCAGACGTCAGAGGTCAAGCTGCCAGCAGGCTGCAGTCCCTCTGAAGACTCTGGCGGAGCCTTCTTTGCCTCTTCCTGTTTCTGCTGGCTCCTGGCATTCCTTGGCTTCTGGTAGCATCATGTCCATCTCTGCCTGTCTTCACATGGCTGCCTTCCTGTGTCTCTGTGTGTCCTTTTGTCTTTTATAAAAGGACAGTTACTGGATTTAGGGCCCGCCCTAGTCCAGAATGAGCTCATCTGGATCTTCACCTTAGTTACATCTGCAAAGACCTGATTTCCAAGTGAAGTCACAGTCTGAGGTTCTGGGTGGACGTGAGTTTTGGGGATACCATTCAAGCCTCTATGGGGAGCAACTCTTAAGCTGTTGTCCGCCTTGTATTTTATGACTAGATGGTCAGTTCCGTGGGAATCCTTTCAGTTCCATGTAGCATAAATCCATAAAACATATATTTATGGACATTGAAATGTGAGTTTCAGATAATTGCCACATGCCATGAAATGTTGGGGTGTGTGTTGGGGGGGCGCTGTGTGTGTGTCTGTCACTTCGTGACTTGCCTTTAGCTTGTGAGCAGCCCAAACCTGAGGGCCCACCTGCTCCTGTGAAGCACGTGACCTCCCACTTGTCATTTACGGAGCTGCTTTTATTCTAAGCTTGATTTGCACGTTTTATGTGTGCGTTTAGCTGCTAAATTTCAGTTGATTTCTTTTGTCCCATCAGTGTAGTCTGTCGTCTTAGCTCTTCCTCCCATTTGTGTGTTTCCATGGGCTTGTTCAGCATCTTCGTTCTTGTCTGTGTCATAGAGAAGCTCATATTCGGCTACCATTTCTCTTCCATGTAACAGGGGGTTTAGTAAATTCTGTATTCTGTCATTTGTCATCAGATTTTCCTTTTTTTTCTAGTAGCTTTTGCACTTGGCATGAAGATATTTGATACATTGCTTCTTCTTTGGTAAATTACTCCTTTTATTATTACTTGGCCCTTTCCCACTGTGTAACGATTTGGAACCCTAACTTGTTTTTTGGGTTTTTTTGTTTGGTTTTTGGTTTTTTCTTTTTTTTCTTAAACCCTAACTTTCTTTTTAACTGATACAAATATTGAGGTGCCTGCATTTTTTGTTTGCAAGTATTTGATTGGCAGTTACCTCTTGTTCCAATATTGTATTTTCAAACTTTGTTTCTTATGTTTAATCATAATGAAGTCTTTGTCGCATAGAGAAACTAGCATGGTCTGCATGGCTGGTGTCCTTCCCCCACACAGGGGATGTGACGGCACTCCTGGCCTCTGGCCTCTACTTGCCAGCATTGCCCTCTGTCACCATGTTGACGAAGAGCCCTCCAGAGTTCCTGAAGCCCCAGTGGGCTTAACTGTTCCCTGGAACCGTGTTGTTCAGCTGTCTCTTGATCCATGTTCCTATTGTTGGACAATTGAGATGGGTTTTCTTTTTTTTTCTTTTTTTTTTGTGGTACGCGGGCCTCTCACTGTTGTGGCCTCTCCCGTCGCGGAGCACA